TCGCTCACTCACTCACTCACTCACAACACTCACTCATTCACTCACTCACTCACTCACTCACCACTCACTCACTCACTCAGTCTCTCTCTCTCTCTCTCTCTCTCTCTCTCTCTCTCTCCTCTCTCTCTCTCTCTCTCTCTCTCTCTCTCTCTTCTCTCTCACTCACTCCTCTCTCCTCACTCACTCACATCACTCTCATCTCGTCTCTCTCTCTCTCGCTCACTTCACTCACATCACTCACTCACTCACTCACTCACTCACTCACTCACTCACTCACCACTCTACTCACTCACTCACGTCACTCACTCACTTCTCACTCACTCACTCACTCACTCACTCACTCACTCACACACGCTCACCACTCACTCACTCACATCACGTTCACTTACTCACTCACTCACTCGCTCACTCACTCAGCTCACTCGCACACACTCACTCACTCACTCACTCACAGATCACTCACTCACTCACTCAACAACTCAATCACTCACTCACTCACTCACAATCACACACAAACACAGATCAGGCTCGCGTATGTATGAGGGGGGGGGGCGGGGTGACTGGTGATAATGAGGATGATTGAAGCCAAGAGGGAATTTTGGCCAAGCCCGGCCACTGGTGCTTAAACTAGGCCAGATGGCGTCCGTGTGTGTGTGTGTGTGTGTGTGTGTGTGTGTGTGTGTGTGTGTGTGTGTGTGTGTGTGTGTGTGTGTGTGTTGTGTGTGTGTGTGTGTGTGTGTGTGTGTGTGTGTGTGTGTGTGTGTGTGCGTATGTGTGTGTGCGTGTGTGTGTGTGTGTGCGTGTGTGTGTGTGTGTGAGTGAGTGAGTGAGTGAGTAAGAGAGAGAGAGAGAGAAAGAGAGAGGGAGAGAGAGAGAAGAGAAAGGTCGTCTTTTGTCTAATTATTAATATATGTATATATGTTTGTTTGTTTGTAAGTGGCTGTGTGTGTGTGTATGGCTACCTGTCTCTGTATGTGTGCGTGGCTACCTTCTTCTGTGTGTGTCTATGTATGTGTATATTGGTATTTCGAACTTTTTTGTTAGCCTTTTTTTTTTTTTTTTTTTTTATTCAGTACTTGCCTAACCACCATCCCCCTTTGTTCACTCTATGTTTCTTCCTGTAATTTATCATTCGCTGTGTTTTCCTCCCTCCTTCTCCTTCTTCTCCTTGGTCATCTCTTCATCCCTCTTTTCTCTTCTCGGGCCATGTTGCTTCCCTCTTTCTTCCTTCCCCATCTTTTCGGCCCTATCTGCATCCCACTTTCTTTCCCCTCGACATTTTTCCTCTTCGTTTTCCCTTTCTCTTTCCCTTTACATCCCTCTTCTTCCGTCTCCATTTCCCTTCTTCTTCCTCCATCTTCGCCTTTTTACCTCTTCTTCTCCCCGCTTCTCGGCCTCCCTCTCTTCTGCTCTTCACCTCTCTTCTTCTCTACCTCTCCTCTTCACCTCTCCTCCCTCTCCTGCTCCTCTCCTCTCTCTCTCCCTCCCTCTCCTCCTCCTCTCCTCTCATCTCCTCTCCTCCACTCCCCTCCCCTCTCCTCCTCTCCTCCTCCCTTTCCCAGTTTCCCCTCTCCCTCCCCCTCCCCCTGTTTCCCCTCTTCTCTCTCTCCGCGATGAATATATTTCGTAAGTCAACATCGTGGATATATTCGAGGACGCTGAATTCCCCCACACGAGGGGAAACGTCCTAATTTCGGGGCCTGAAAGTCGTACTTGGGGAGAGACCCATTACTCAGGGTTAGAGGAACGAGGGGGAATGAATTGTCTTAAAATGTGGTCTTGTTCGGGAGGGAAGGAGAGGGGGAGGGGGGGAGGAGAGGGAAGGGGAGGGAGGGGAAGGGGAGGGAGGAGAGGGGAGGGGGGGAGGGGAGAAAGGAAGGAGGGGAGGGAAGGGGAGGGGAGGGGAGAGGGAGGGGGAAGGGAGGGGAGGGAAGGGAGGGAGGAGAGGGGGGAGGAAGAGAAGAGAGAGGGAGATTAAAGGGAAGAGAAGAAAATGAGCAGATGATGATGATGGTGTAGTGATAATCATCCCGATACAGTGTCAATAGCTGATTTATGCCGAAAGGAAGAGTAACGATATCCATACAACTTGTCAATGATTAGATTAACCAAATCTTCATATCACTTATGGAGAGTAAACAACAACAACAACAAACAACAACAACAACAACAACACAACAACAACAACAACAACAGAAATATATCGTAACGGCACTTAGCTTGAAATTGACCTGAAACCACAAATGCTCCACAACGCAAAAAAAGCCAACAGTGCAAAATCAAAACAAGAGGCGAACGGAACGGGAAATGGGGGTGGGTGACGCTGGACACGAAAGGGGGAACGCGTGCACGGGAAGGGGCGAGGGGAACGGCAGATGGCCCGGAAGATATGGGAGGAATGCGAAGCGGGGGCGGCGGGGGAAGGGGCGGGGGGGAGAGGGAGAGGGGGAGAGAGGAGGAGAAGGAGGGGAGGGAGAGGAGGAGGAAGGAGGAGGGGAGGGAGGCGAAGGGAGGGGGAGGGATGAGGGGAGGGACAGGGACGGGAGGGAGGGAGGGGAGGGGGAGAGGGAGAGGGGATGCAACAGGAACTGCAGTGGACCCTTATGTTGAGCGTACGCACGCACGTACCCGTGTGTTGACAATTCTCTCTCTCTCTCTCTCTCTCTCTCTCCTCTCTCTCTCTCTCTCTCTCTCTCTCTCTCTTCGTCTCTCTCTCTCTCTCCTCTCTCTCTCTCTCTCTCCCTCCTCTCTCTCCCTCTTCCCTCTCTTCTCCTCTCTCTCTCTCTCTCTCTCTCCCTCCCTCTCCCTCTTCCTCTTCTCTCCCTGCTCCTCTCTCTCGCTCTTCTTCTCTCTCTCTTCTCTCTCTCTCTCTCTCTCTCTCTCTCTCTCTCCCTCTCTCTCCCTCTTCTCTCTCTCTCTCTCTCTCTCTCTCTCTCTCTCTCTCTCTCTTCTCTCTCTCTCTCTCTCTCTCTCTCTCTCTCTCTCTCTCTCTCTCTCTCTCTCTCTCTCTCCTCTCTCTCTCCTCGCTCCCTCCTCCCTCCTCCCTCCCTTCTCTCTCTTCGTCTTCTCTCTTCTCTCTCTCTCTCTCTCTCTCTCTCTCTCTCTCTCTCTCTCTCTCTCTCTCTCTCTCTCTCTCTCTCTCTCTCTCTCTCTCTCTTCTCCTCCTCCCTCTCCCTCCGTCTCTCTCTCTCTCTCTCTCTCTCTCTCTCTCTCTCTCTCTCTCTCTCTCTCTCTCTCTCTCTCTCTCTCTTCTCTCTCTCTCTCTCTCTCTTCTCTCTCTCTCTCTCTCCTCTCTCCCCCCCCCCCCCCGCTTGCAGGTGCACCCATATGCAACTTCGCTGACCAGGTTCATATCAACCTCCGGATCTGAAGTTGTTTCGAGATGAAGTTTTCCTTCGCGCACAGTACAGGACCGAGGCACTTAAATTGACCCCGTAAAGTGTTTTATTGTTCAGCTTGTTTATTTTGCTTGTTAAAGTGTCAATTTCCTTATTATGTGATTATATCAAATGGCGAGATAAAAACTATTTATTGCAAGTAGTTTTGTAAGTACTTTTTGTGCGTCTGCCAGTTATACCATAAGCAACATTGCGATGAAAAAACACAGTACTGTTTAGGATCATGTTGCCAAGTTTATTGCTGTCCCCGATGTTGCCTTTTGTAATGCCAAATTGCAACATACCCTACGGGCCATGTTCGAATGGGTCGCACCACATGGCAACATGGAGTAGCGCCGGCCGCCGCCATGTGTTGCCCACAGCATATCAGTCAGCATGGTGCCTATCAAAGCGTCCAGGAGTGACAATTAGGCACCATTGTGACGCCTCAGCCACGTGTCAGAAAAGTGCCACGTAAGTGACGGTAATTGGCAGGTAGGCGGCCGCGGTGGCGGCGCGGCGCCCGCCAGGCCTTTGTGGGCGGCGGTGGCGCTGCCCCTTCGCCGGCCGGCCGCCCTTCGCCTTGCTCTGGGCCTCTCGCTCTGCTGCTTCGCTGTGGGTGGTGTTGTCGCTGTTGGCTTTGAGTTGCAGGGTTTATTTCCGTAAAGTTGATTCATTTCTCGTTATTTTTCATTTTCTCTTTTGTTGTGGCACCATAACCCCTTTATTTTTTTCCTCATTTGTTCTAGTTCTCTTTGTTGTTGCTTTTGTTGACGTCGGTGTTATTGTTTATTTTGTATTCATTATTTTTGTTATCGTTATTGCTTGATCTCTTTCTTTTCCTTATACCTGGCTATTCCTCTTTGTTTCTTCCTTCTCCTGTATCCTCTTCTGCTTCTCGAAATTTCCCTTCCCTCGCAACATCATCGTCTTCCTTCTCATATTTCCTACATTTGTGTTGCTGTTGTTTTGGTGATTCTCTACATACCGGCAGGATTTAGCACCCGGGGTAGAATTAACGAAGCCTTTTGGCCCTCGGACATTCGTTGCGCAACACAATACATCACACCGCATCATAACACATACGCACCTGAACTCTCTCCTCTCTTCTCTTTCTCTCTCTTCTCTCTCTTCTCTCTCTTCTCTCTCTCTCTCTCTTCTCTCTCTCTCTCTCTCTCTCTCTCTCTCTCTCTCTCCTCTCTCTCTCTCTCTCTCTCTCTCTCTCTCTCTCTCTCTCTCTCTCTCTCTCTCTCTCTCTCTCTCTCTCTCTCTCTCTCTCTCTCTCTCTCTCTCTCTCTCTCTCTCTCTCTCTCTCTCTCTCTCTCTCTCTCCTCTTCTCTCTCTCTCTCTCTCTCTCTCTCTCTCTCTCTCTCTCTCTCTCTCTCTCTCTCTCTCTCTCTCTCTCTCTCTCTCTCTCTCTCTTTTCTCTTCTCTCTCTCTCCCTCTCTCTCTTCCTCTCTCTCTCCTCTCCCTCCCTCTCTCTCCCCTCCCTGCCTACCTTCTCTTCCTCCCTCCCTCTCCCACGCCCTCGCCACCCCAGCGAGAGACCCGAAGCGCCCTACCGACTAACGCCCTCCCCCCCTCCTCCTCCCCCAGGGACGCTGGACACCAACGTCATCCACATCGTGCCCAAGAACAAGGTCAATGAGGAGGCGAAGAAGCGGCGCGCGCACCTCGTCACGCAGCCATCGAGAAGAACATCAGGCTGAAGGTGAGTTTTTGGTAGCGGGGTCTTACGAAGGCGGTTTTACTCCCTTCCCCTCCGCTCCCCTCCGTTCCCCTTTCTCTCTCTCTCCCCTCCTCTCTCTTCCTCTCTTATCTCCTTCTCTTCTTCTCTTCCTCCCTCCACTCCCTCGCTTTCTCCCTCCCTTTTCTTCCCTCCCTCCCTCTCTTCCTTCCTCTCCATGTTCCTCCATCCCTCCCTTTCTCCCTCCCTCTCTCCCTCTCTTCCTTCCTCTCTATGCCCCTCCTTCCCTCCTGATGTAGGCTTCCCTGTTTTGGATGTTTATTCCTTCCTGCCCTCCTTGTGTCAAGTCGTTTTCCCTTTTATTTGAAATGATTATTTCCTAAGCCTCCCCTCCCCTTCCCCCCTCCCTGCTTTATGCATTGACCTTCGGGTATTTTCTCCATTTTCTCTTTCTGCTTTATATTGCCTTCCCTCCTTCGGATATTTAATCTCTCCCTCTTTATCTCCCACCCTCTTTATCTCCCTTCGTTATGTAGCTTTCTGACCACAGGATATATCCCCCTTTTCTCGCTTTCTGGGTTTTATTGGCTTCCCTCCTTCAGATGTTCATTCTCTCCCTCCCTCCCTTCGTCCTCTCCTCCATTATTCAGTGTCCCCTTCTTCGGATATGTGCTTCCTCCCTCCCTACGTCATGCAGCGTTCCCTCCATCCTTTCCTCCTCTCCCTCCGATATGTAGCGTTCCCTCTTTCGGATATTTACTCCCTGCCTCCTCCTTTCCCTCCTCTTGAGTACCGATCCCCCCATTTCCCTCATACTCGCATCCTAACTCTCTCCCTTCCCTCCTTCACTGGGTGTGTTTCCTCTGTCTCATTTCTCCCTGCCCCTCTCTCCCTCCTTCCCTCCCCCGAATCCTCTCCTCTCACCTTGGCCCTCCGCCCTCCCCTTTCCTTCCCTTTGCCCCTTACCCTACCCTCCCCTCCGGCTCAGGTTGCAGGAAGGGTGGGGTATCGGAGTCTTCGGTGGGGGTGGAGGGAAGTGGAGGGAAGTGAGTAAAGATGAAGGTCTTGACTGCGGCATCGTGGTAGGAGCATGGTTGGGGAGGGTAAGAGGGGTTGTGTGCGTTCGTGCGTGCGTGCGTGCGTGCGTGCGTGCGTTTGTGTGTGTTTTTGCATGTGTTTTGTGTAATTGTTGATATTTTTTGTGTGTGCGTACATTTTTTTATATTGCTTTTTTGTTGGAGGGATAGTGTAAGGCAAAGACTATAGCTTGAGTATTCAGGTATTTTTTTATAGATTTACACAATGGGTTGAGTAACGTATTAATAAAGTGGTGTTGGGAATAAAGTAGTTTGTACATAAATTCATTAAAAAAAGAGAACATGCGTAGACTTGATGCTTCCTAACACCGTAATTAGATTTTACAGGTGATTATCTTTGTGACAGCTATTTGACCATCCATTTTGAAAGACAGCCAGTAATGCTTGTAGTTCATAGGTGGCGTCTACACTCCGCAGACTTTTACATTTACATTTTTTTTTTCACACGGCTCCACTTTTCACACGGGGTCGCTAAACAGTAACGCTAGCATAGAAATAAGAAAAAAAAGAACAAAAACTATGCAGGTTTCGATCAGGATTTCTGAGTTCTGATGGCTTGATTTGAAATGAAACTTTTAGCTTACTTTTTTTACACAATTTTGTTATATAGAGAATTTAGATGGTTAGTTTATTATATGCATTGTTATAGTTTACGAGGCATTCTTTTCTTTTACTTTTTTTTTGGATTCCAGAGAATTGTAAGGTGTTCTTTTAATCAATAACATAAAGAATATTTATTGTTCATTGGGATAAATATATTAATCCATTGCATTCCCCCCACTGAGCTTCCAAGACAGTGTCTCAGTAACATCATTAATATATATATATATATATATATATATATATATATATATATATATATATATATATATATATATATATATGAATGACATTAAAATCCTTCTTGTATGAAACTGAAATAATCAAGTATAAACATTTGTGCCAAAATTAAGGAAAATGAGTTAGGAAATTAGTGCAGAGTATTAGGTAAGAATTCTGTTATTCTCTGGTCCTTCCTCTCATTCTGCAATCTTCATTCTGTTGTGTGTTTCTCTCCACGCACATGGCAGCCTAAGGAATACGTCTACAAGCAACAACTCGTGGTAAATACCCTCACACACTGTGTATACCTCTGCATGTACACGTATATTGACACTCACACATGTGTTCTTACATCACCACCTTGCATGCCTACTAACATTTTCTTTGTGTATTTCTATACATATATATATATATTGTTTGTTTATTAATTTATTTGTTGTTTATTTTAAAAAAATATTTCATAATTGATTTCTTCATGGGTTGATGGGAAATGTCCTAAAAAGAGAATGCAGCTTCCGTAGATTAGTATGATTAAAATCCTGCAATTAACGAGAATGTGAGTTGTGGGTCCTTTGTCAAATGCATTAACGAAGGGAAGCCATAGAACCGTTTAACGTGTCCTAGATGTTAGTGATGAACAGTAGTGATGCATATGCCACATCCCTCCCCCCCCAAAAAAAAATGTTATAAACCATTCCATATGACCATGTACTTTCAATAAAGTGAAGATAATTCCCAATTTGGCCAAAGCATAGAAGTATGCCGTTCCTGAGCCTCCATATACAAGGTAGATACTAATGAGGTCCTGGCGGTGCTTCCGAACAGGTGAACCTCCCGAGAAATCAGCTGGCGGTGTACCGAGTGCCGCCCAAGACGCTCATCTCGGACGTGCTCACGATGGTGTGCAAGGACCGCTGCCTCGACCTCGACAACCACGAGATTCGACATCCAGGTTAGTTCTGAGTTGTGTGCGTTTTGGTTTCCATTTTTTGTGTGTTTTGGTTTCCATTTTTTGTGTGTTTTGGTTTCCATTTTTTGTGTGTTTTGGTTTCGTGTGTTTTGGTTTCCATTTTTTGTGTGTTTTGGTTTCGATTTTTTCTGTGTTTTTTTTCTGTTTCTGGTCTTTTCTGTTCGACATTGTGTTTTTTTTTCTGTTCGACATTCAGATCAGTTCCCAATTCGATCTCTCTTTTTGGTTTTTGTAGTTGGTGGTGGGGGTTGTGAGAATGATGCTGGTAGAAAAAAAGTTTAATAATAACCAAAATTATTTTGTAGAAAGATACGGTGTGTTTAATGTTAATGTTGTCGCTCCTTCTATCGTGCTTGGTTTGTTTACTTTTTGTGTTTTTGGTTTTGAAAATGTTCCCTTCACTGTCACTTTATAGATTGCAATAAGTTCCCGTGAATCTTTTATTTGTGCTTTGAACGTTTTCATTGTTTATGGATTACCACGATAGCGAAAATTATAAAGTTGCATACAATTGAATAGTTTATTTATTATTGTTTCCCCGTGTATAATTGATGCAGCAGGCGGCCCCATCGAAAAGATATAGTCACTCCTCAAAGGGAAGCCTCATTGTCCACAAGAGAAAACCGATACGATTTGATGGGTAACTAATATTAAGTGACGGTGATCGAAAGATATCAACATACTGTATGTTTCTCCCTTGGAAATCTGTGAAATGAATGAGATGTATTTAGATGAAAGCACATAAAGCACGTTTGAATTATTTAAAACCTTTAAATCTTTATTATATGTCGGTGGATTATTTTTTGTGTAAAAAAAAAGAAAAAAAAAATCGCGGCTTTGCTCTATTTCTCCTATTTTAAACATTTCCTCTGAGAGAATTTTTTTTTTTTTTTGTCGCACAGAACTTTGCACTATAATGTATCATTATGGCCATCATTATTTACACTGGCGCTTGACCTCAGCAGACGGGAAATAGGGGACCTTTCTTTTTACTTGTGCTAGAAATGGGGGCCCTGTGAGATTTCTTAAAACTTGAGTTGTTTAGGAAGATACGAGGAATTGCGTGCTTAAGAAAATGATGAGACAAAATTTGCAAATGCACGAAAAAATCCGATTTTGGAGCTGGAACTAAGAGTAAGAAGAATGAGGAGGAGGAGGAGGAGAATGATAATAGTATTAATAATAATAATAATAATAATAATAATAATAATATAATAATAATAAAATATAATAATAATAATATAATAATAATAATGATATGATAATAAAAACGATTCCCCCGGAAATAAAAGCTCCGGAAGAAAATGTTCCCACAATTCCGTCTCGGAACACGCCGCAAGAGTGAAGAAGAAAATAGATAAAAAAAGGTCAGAAGACAAGAATGTAATAATGATATCCGAGGGCGGTGTGACGTAGAGGGGAAATGGCGCCGCTTCAGGCTGTGTGTCAGCGAGGCGGTCCCCCCTCCCCCCTTTCCCTCTATTCCTCCCCTCTTTCCTCCACTCCTCCCCCCTTTCCTTCCTTTCCCTCCTCTCCTTCTCCCCCGTTCCTCACCCCTCCATCCTCCTCCCTTCCTCCCTCCTCCCTCCTCCTTCTCCTCCTCCTTCCTCCCTCCTTCTCCTTCCTTCTCCCTCTCCTTCTCCCTCTCCTCCTCCTCCTCCTCTCCTCCTCCTCCTCCTCCTCCTCCTTCGCCCTCCTATCCTCCTCTCCTCTCCTCCTCCTCCTTCCTTCCCCTCCTTCTCCTTCTCCTTCTCCCTCCCTCTCCTCCTCCTCCTCCCCCTCTTCCTTCCTCCTCCTCCTCCTCCTCCTCCTCCTCCTCCTCCTCTCCTCCTCCTCCTCCTCCTCTCCTCCTCCTCCCCTCCCCCCCCCTCCCCGTTAATGTTGTTTACATGTTTGTCGTGTTTGAAATTTCGGTCTCGAAATTATGTTTGTTATTCTAGCGCAAAAAAAAAAAAAAAGGCGGGAGTAAATTGAACAAATTGGCCGTGAGAAGTTCGTCGGGGGAGTACGAGCGCAAGGCCGACTTTCTTCAGGATTTCGGAAGAAGGGGGATACGACCTTAAATTTTTGGAAAAAAAAAAAGAATTGGATCACATGGCAAATTTTCTGAGTTATAGAGGTTGAGGTGTGGGATTAGCAGGTGGAAGTAAGACCAAAATTCAATGAAGATTTTTCGCTGGAGGAAGATTATTATTATTATTATTATTATTATTATTATTATTATTATTATTATTATTATTATTATTATTATTATTATTATTATTATTGTTGTTGTTATTGTTATTGTTATTGTTATTGTTATTGTTACTGTTACTGTTATTATCATCGTCATTATCATTATCGTTATCAGCATGGTCATTATTGTTATTATTGTTATTGTTATTATTTCTTCTTCTGTCTATTATTGTTATTATTTCAACGCCATGTGTATGCATGTTTTTTTCGTGTTTTGTTTACGAAATTGTTTAAAGTATATACCCGACTGCGCAGTATTTCCTTGTAAGTATTCAAGGTTTATCTCCCCCCCCCCCAGTAAAGTAATTGCAGTTAAGCAATTACGCCGGATAGGCCACAATTATTTTATTCCTTGGTTTAGGGTTTTATCTCTGAAGACCTCTGACAGGCGGTCGCGAATTAAAGATTAAAAAATAGTTTAGTGTTTTGAGAGTTAGAACAGTTTATTTCTGGAAACATATGATAGGCGGTAAAATAAAAATAGATGAAATACCGATAACAAAACAAAATCAGGTACCATCGATTGTGGAGGTTTCTTTTAGGTGTAACTGACTAGAAACACAGAATGTCGGGATCAAATCGTATCCTATCAGGTGCGGCGGTGAAAAAAGTAGATTTCAGATTTTTTTTCTTTTTTTTTTTTTCTAAATCGGGAAAAAAGTCGATTTCAGATTTTTTTTTCTTTTTTCTTTTTTTTTCTAAAATCGGGAAAAAAGTCGATTTCCGATTTTTTAAAATTATCTTCGGAAATCGGGAAAAAAGTCGATTTCGGATTTTTTTCTTTTTTCTTTTTTTCTAAAATCGAGAAAAAAGTCGATTTCCGATTTTTTAAAATAATTTTCGGAAATCGGGGAAAAAAAAAACAAGTGCGGCGGATCGGTAGTTCAAGAAATAAAAGGATTGTCGTCTTATAGATTGGCTTTATTTGGGTTGGGTATAGCACGCTCGTACACACACGTATACGGATACACACGCGCGCACACACGCGCGCACACACGCACTCACACTCACACACAAATACTGACACACACGCACGCACACGCACACGTACACGCACACGCACACGCACACACACTCAACACACACACACACACACACACCACACACACACTCACACACACACTATATTTGCATCTACATGTACGTATGGACCATATATGCGGGCAAGCAGATTGCTGTACAGTCTAAACGAAGTCCAAATTAGAGGAACAGCAGAACGCGTGAACGAATGGCACAATATTCCATTACAAGTATTCAAGTCCGCTGCCTGTGAGGACACGGACGTAGCTCAGGTGAAGCTCGGGATGCACAGCGCAGGAGGAGGAGGAGGAAGAGGAGGAAGAAGAAGGAAGGGGAAGAAGAGGAGGAGAGGAGGAGAAGAAGAAGAGGAGAGGAGGAGGAAGAAGAAGAGGAGGAAGAAGAAGAAGAGGAGGAAGAAGAAGAAGAAGAGGAGGAGGAAGAAGAAGAAGAGGAAGAAGAGGAGGAGGAGGAAGAAGAAGAGAGGAGGAGATAGAAGAGAGGAGGAGGAAGAAGAAGAAGAAGAAGAGAGGAGGAGGTAGAAGAAGAAGAGAAGAAAGAGGAGGAGGAGGAGGAGGAACCGATCATAGCGCCCCTTCCAGCCAGCCATAAAATAAACCTTCATTATGCATTTACCTTCCATTTTTCCTTCTTTTTCAACCGGCCATTTAAGCCTCGGTATTCCAGGCTTCTTCGTCACGGCCTCCCGTGTCCGGACCTTGAGGCGGTGACTTCGGCGCGATGAAAGAGAGCAATGGGCGGGGGAAGTTGTTCGTTTGTTCAGGAGTTATTTGTGCTATTTTCTTCCCTCAGATTCAGATTCGGTTTGTTTTTGGTTTGGGGGTTTTAGCCGTATAGATTAGGGGGGATTTTTATTGTTTTCCCCAATGATTTATTATTTATTATTACGCATTAATTAATTTATCAGTTATTATTAATAACATTTTTATGGTTATAATTATTAATATTTATATTTATAGTAATATTGTTACCATTTTCATTATTATTGTTATTATTGTTAATTGTTATTATTATATTGTTATTATTATAGTTGTTGTTGTTATTATTGTTTATTTTATCATCCATATCATCATTATTGTTATTTTTTTATCATAGTTAATAATAACATTATTATTATTGTTATTATCATATCATCATCATGATCACCAATATCATCATCATCATCATCATATTCCTTTTAGAGCGAACAGGAAGGGAAAGAGAGGTAGAATTGACATGCGTCTGTATTTCTGCGTGGGCGGCGCCAGGAGACCGCCCGTGACCGCTGCTTCGGCTGCGCGAGGCTCTTGAGGCGGGTTTTACGGCGCGGGCGGGCGGCGCGGGTGCAATTTGCGCCGGTTTTTTTTTTATGGCGCTGTTCTTGGAGGTCCGCCTTTCTGGAGAAGGAACGGAACACGGGAAAGTTGTTATTTTCCCTTTTTTTTTCATTTAGTAGTTTTTTTGGGGGGGAAAGTTTTTTTTTTTTTTTTTCCTTTTTTTTTTTAGCTTTTGTGTGGGGGGGGGAGGGGGAGTGGGTGGGGGGCAAGATGGCGGGAAGGGATAAGGAGCCCGTGTTAGGATAGATTTTTTTTCTTTTCTTGTCTTGTTCTTGTTCTTCTCCTCCTCCTCCTCCTCTTCTTTTGTTTTTCTCCTTCTTCTTCTTCTACTACTACTTGTCCTTCTTCTTCTCCTTCTACTTCTCCTTGTTCTTCTTCTTCTTCTTCTTCTTC